CTGGCTGCAGGAAAAGTTCTGTCCGGTGATGCTTGAATCGTCTCTTTATGACTCCTGCAATGTCCACCTTTGAAATTGAGGCGAACTAATACAAGCTTTTTGCCGATGTAATGTTCTTCCGTATTCGGTCTTCCGTTTTACCATATCTGTCGATAGATGTTTGTGAATAACAATTATCGCATAGGCATCTTTCAACTATCCGCAACTCTTCCTGCATTTTGCCAATGAATCATATCACTTTGATCCTGTGAAATACATTTTTAGCTTTAGCCCATTTGTTGCTATTGGGACAGAAGCAACCGAAAGTTGAGTAGGTACCATTCTACGCGCTCTTTCAGTGAATATACCTTTGGAGCTTAACATGCGTCCCACATTCTATGGTGTTATCCAAAAAATTGAGCTTTTTGTCATGTCGTAGTTTATTATGAGTAGAGAAGTCTATGTCGATTAGCATAGTTAGGTCCGTATGCAGGTAAATTTACTGACTATATCAGTGTATTCAAAATAGCTGACATGAAGGCAAACTTTTTGAGAGAACAGAGTTTTAACTTCTTTCCCTCATAAAGTACTGAAGTCCCTTTAACCGACTTTATGAATAAAAAAGCCTATGTTATTCTGAATGCTGTAATGTATCAGTACCTTTTTGTTTTGTGAAGGAAATATGGAAGGATTCATAAATAAATCAGTCTAGTATGGCTGTAGCATTCACAACTTATTGTAATTTTTAAGGAAAATAAAAAGCAGGATGGAACACCTGAAGTCGGCATGAGATTGAAAGTAAATATTATATTTCTTCTGATAATATTTGACTTCTCCGAAATAATACATTCACTCTTAGCATACCTGACTCATTTGCAGTAAGTCATAATGAAACAATCTTTAGCTGAGGAGAAAGCTCAGTTTCTTTCTCTAGTTTTTGTGTAGCGAAAGATGTTTGTTCATCAATAAACTAGCCACATGTTTTTCTGTAAGTGTGAAGCTGAACGGCATTAAGTATTTCATACAAAAATTTTCTACATTTTACGAAATATACTCTAGCAAGCAACACAAGTTGTTTTAAACTACTCACACTGATTTCCAGACTTTACCAACCAGATCAGATTGATCTGAATATCAAAGGACTGTTTGGCTAATTTAGTAGCTTAACCCAGATAAATTCACCCTCACATAGCTGAATTGTCCAGAGTAACTGAACCTGGCTAACTGATATGTATTGACCGGTATATAGAGGACATCTCACCACATTCTTGAAATGCACATGGAATTCATAAATCCAACTATTAGTTGTGCTTACAATTAAATCATTTTTCAGATATTTCACTTTCTTTTCCTGTATGCAGCGAACAAATAAAGGCGGTTCGAGTATTTTAGTGGGTATGAGCTCACTAGTTTTTATCAACTTAATACTTATATCAAGGTTTTCTAGGTAGAAAACGAATAATTTACTTTAATGTAGATCACGATATACCTACTTGCGTGTTCTTCAGAATAATTTATTCTTAGAATTGTTGTTAAAGACTGCGGAGAGTTAAGGTGATAAAAACTGAAGTTAAAAGATAATCCCACTGTCTTCAAGGTCCTGTGTAATTTAGTTTAAAATGTCTAATTGACGTAATAGTTTCATTTGATAACAGTTTCAACTAGCTGTTATAGTGATCAATGTCCATTTCTTACCATGCTAATTATTTAAAGAGATGTCATCTAGAGATGAATTGAGATGAAATAGAAAACGAAATTACTTAATAATTGACTACAATATACAGGGTTATTGTGCTCATACAATCCTCATAGGTATACAGATAGGGTGCATGCAGGAGTAAATCAGCTTGCCAAACAAGTTAATTTTAGCTAATCTTATCGATAATTTTGAAATTTAGAAAAGTTACTTGAAACTTATAGCTCACTAAGAGTAAAAAGCATCCAGACCATAGTTATAAATGAAATATATTTGTAAAATCCAAATGAAGTAAAAGAGATAAATTTCTGACGTTTTATAACTGTGTGAAAATCGCTTCTTCAAGTGTTTACTATTTGGACATTCGATAACTTATACAGATTTTATTCCCTGAAGAAAGGATTCCCACGAAGTCATGAAACGCCGGAAATTTTTTTTCCTCATTCGAATTTTACAAATATATTTCAAAAATAATCCACTAACTCATTGCTCACTTTATTGATCTTTATCAGGTTAAAATTTGATCCTAGAGTTTATAAAATCAGACCATAGATGTTACAAATTTCCTGGAGGAAGTTGAACACAGTCTGATTTTATCATCATGAAAATATATTTTAATATAATCTGTTTAGAAAATGAAAACAAGATGCTCTTGAATGCTTCTCTGTGTACATCATAGCTTCTTAAGTAGAATATACTGATGTCTAATAACTTAAAAATACATAACACATCAAATATTTAGTGAATGCAGGTTACTGGTCAAGTGGTTCTCTGTTCAACCTGAGTAATTAAAATTACCATTTGAACTATCTGAGATAGCCGTGGTTTGGCAAAAGATTATTGATACTGGGCTATGATTGAAGGTGAAATGAAAATTTGGACCGCGGTAGGTTCCCAACCAGCAAGCACTGTGTTTCCCGCCCAGTGTTCCACCAACTGAGCTACGAGGTTGCTATCATACTAATGATACTTTCAATTTCTCATTGAGGTACTGAGTTAGGTTGCTCTGCCTTTATTTTAGCAGATGGGTTCTTATGCAGATGCCTGGACATTGTCTAGATATTCATCATGTTGAACTCTTCTTGGTGAGACTCAAACTCTGCATCAATCGCTTCAGACGCCAAAGCGTTATTCATTAGGACACTGCGGCACAAGAGCCACACCTTGTGCAGCGGGCATCAGCTGTTGCTTACTTATCAACCAGATTTCAAAAACTGATATCTGGTACACAATTGGCGGCCGCCTTGATCTAGTGTTCTAGTGGATAACGCTTTGGCGTTTGAAGCAATGGATACTGAGTTCATGCCCCAGAGAACAACACTCACTGGGTGCAGATACATCGGGCTGATGAGTCGCAAACAGGATGAAATGCGTGTACTGGATTCTACTGCTAACTTCCCAAAAGACTGCAAAATGACAATTTATATTTTGTTCACTCTGTTTTCTATCAACATTTCTCTAAGTAGCGAATTCACGCTGTGAAACTTTTACAAAGACTGTGTTTATATCTTGAATGGATGATTTGGGAGTGTAGGTGGGAATAACGTGTATGCGTTCATTTAAGCAGAAAATATCTCAATATATACATTATTTTCATTCGCCTAGAAGGTTTATCACTCACTGATTCACACCAACTGTGTAACTGTTTGATAAACTAAGTTGACTATTTCGTCTTGTTTACTTTTTAATCTCTTCTTATTTCCTGTGCATTTTCGCGATCACTTTTATTTAAATCACTTGCCAGATATGTTGATATCTGAATATCTTTGCCTTTTATTACATTACTGATTTCCTGCAGAATAACTGATGTCATACTGTCTTATTTTAAGCGAGGATGACATTTTATCAGTATAGCCTTCATTGTTATTAAGAAGCTGGTAGACTCACCATATCAGTGCATCTTAATTGTCTAGGAGGCTTATTACTAACTGACAGGGAATGATTGTGCTGGCTGTTACTAGTAAGGTGTATCTGCGACCTTCTGGGAGCTGTCATCTCCTTGAGGATTCTAGCCCACATAACTCAATGTTGCGATTAAGAAGTAACCACTAGGTAACTAGCATCTAAGTGATTCAGTGACTATGTATCTCTAGCTAGATCCAAAACCAGACCATACAAAACAGAATCTTCCAGAGAGATTCATCTCCCTCATGGTAATAGACGTGACTCATCAAGGATGTAATTCGAGTCTTTCTGATGACTCTCTGTGTCTACTAACTGTAAAATATATTTGTAAAAACCCTTTTACTTTTAAATACGATTTCTTCATTAGTCGGGTTTTTGATGCATATTTTAGAAGCGAGTTAATTACACTCAAACGTAAGCTTTCTAAAACTACAAAAGAATTCGGTGAAAGCTCAATTCGTTGGTAAACGTTGACCTTTATTTGCATTGATTCGTGCCTTAGTAGATAAATTTTATCCATTCTATTCTGTTTTTGAAGCATGACCTGCAAAAAACAGTCAAAATAATAAATGAATTTAGGAAAAATATCTTTTCCAAATAGATATGTATTCATTTGGCATACCTGCGTTTGAAATCGACTGTTAAAGCAACGAATTCTATGAAGAAATTTATTCATAAAGACTGATTAGTATCAGCATGTAATTAGGTAGGATTTTTAGTTATTTAGAATATTTGTGTTACTTTGAAAACGCTGGCTACACTTCTGTAACTACCTTTACGTTTGAAATATATTTATTTGCAAGCTTAAAGTTTTGTAGTTAGGTTGATAAAAAGATGTCTGTTTAGCAAGTTTCTCAGTTTTTATGTCCCAGTGAAAACTGTTATGTACTTTGATTATTTTTATTGATGATGAACAAGTAAACTGGTGATGGCTTAACGTCAGTATAGAAGCGCAACAGAAGTTACCTCTTAAGAGTAGAGGCCATTCAAGTTATTTAATCATTCTTGATCCTAAATGTGACTCAAATTTTATACTTAGGCTAGGTATTCACTAGTGAATTGCACTGCTATTCAGTTTATGCTTCCTAATGTAGTTATGACTCCTCAACTTGAAGTTTTTGTACGGAAAATTAGGATCATCAGTTGTCGCTTCTAACAAAGGAGTTTAATCCAACAAGTAAGTGAACCACAACTGTCAAGCTGATTTTTTCCATGCATACGAAATTTTGATCAATAGGCACAAAACGTTCGTCTATTAGTTATTGGGTGATTTGATAAAAAGAACACTCTGAGTGGTTCATGAAATTCATTTTGAAAGACTAAAAGTACGGTTTAAATATTTTCAGCCTAGTAATTACAAATATTTTTTAAAAGCTTTCTTCACCTATGATTACTTTTTGTTTTTCTATTTGTTGTACAGGTTAAATTAGATGGACGGTTAATGGTAAACCGCAGATTGGATCGCGATCAAATATGTCCTAAACAACAACAACTAGGTTCATCTATTGTTGCAGTAGAGTCAACACAAACAGCTTCGAGTGCGTATACAAGTTCATTTCAGCAAACCACTACGCAAACAGAAAGTATATCTTGTTTTATAATTCTACAAGTTGGCTTGTTTATTCATCGAAGAATTACTTCAGTCAATAAAGCAGATGCAGAATCAAGCGACAAAATGCATAACAGATTATTTCATATAGGTATTAATGTTCAGGATATTAATGATAATGCACCATACTGGCAAGGCCATTTACAAAGATTGCGTATTACATTCCTAGATGGTGATCCAGCTGGTTCACGCCGAACTATACCACCAGCATTAGATATAGATGCAGGTATAAATGGTCAGGTAACATATGAGCTAAGTCCAGCCAATCCATTCGATAAGTCTAATATACCATTCAGTTTACTTGAAGATTCAACTGATGGTCTTCATTTATACGCAACTAAACCTATAGATCGGGAAGAACAGTCAGAATACAAATTAGTATTACAGGCAATTGATGGGTCATACGCTTCATCATCGCCACCAAATGAATCTATTTTAAGACGATTTACTTCAACTCTGTATTTAGATGTTTTTATCGAAGATGTAAATGATAATACACCACAGTTTACTCAACCCATATTTGCAACTACAATGCCAATACCTGAAACAACGCCAGTTGGAACAACAGTCCTCTTACTAAATGCCACTGATTTAGACTCTGGTGTAAACGGAATCTATCATTTTGGTTTTAGTAAAGATCATTACTGGCAGCCGAATGAGAAAATAGCTAGACATTATTTTGACATACGTCCAAATGGTCAGATTATAGTTAGACAAGCACTCAATGTAGATAAACTTGATCGATTCACTAGTCACACTAATAATAATATTAATAGTAATAACAATAATATTCCGTTATCAAATCCAAGAACCTATCATCACCCAAGTGATGACATCAGTATGCAAACGAACAAAGGTGTTGCCTTACAATTTCGTTTCCGCGCAATTGTTGAAGACGAAGCATCAAGACCGTACACACGTTCAAGCGAAGCCACTGTTATCATACTCGTCACAGATGAGAATGATGAGTCACCCATCATTACAGTACGCCACAATCCAGGATCGATCAATTCTAATGCTTTGGATAGCGCTGCAATGCCAAATCCTTTTGGCTATTTCAATGTATTTGAAAATCAACCAGTTGGTACTGTTGTTGCAAGTGTACGGGTGAGTATATTAGTTTTTTTTTAATATCCAAAATCACTGATAATCACTCTTCTTTTGGTGGCTATACCTCATTTTATGATACCTGTAACATTATGCAATACAAAAGTGACACAATAAAGATTATACACCCACGATACACGAAATTGCTATCGTAAACATCTTTTGGAACACTGTCTAGCTTTTTCATTAGGCCATATATACATAATACCAATAGTTTCTATGTAATGAACTTGTAGATGTTTGGTCTACTGATTTTCTTTATACCAACGGAAAAGATTTTCTTCCGACTGCTACATACAGCCAAATGACCAACAGCTTGTAAACTTAACCAGTATCTTTGTGTTTAGTGCGTAACCTTGCCACGGTCAGAATAATGATATCTTACAATTCTCTAACTATTTTGTGTTCATTTCATTTTTGTCATTTACTTCTTCCACTTTAGAACTCATGAAGTCAGATCATTTGCAAACTCTAGTTTCTTCCTAGGTCCTATTTTGACAGTCTCATAACCCTTTTTAAAACCGACTATTGTATTCCAACAGACTAGATATGAACAAATTTATGCAATTTTGGAAAGTATATTATCACAGAGAATAGTCAGATAACTTGTAAGCTTTCGTTTCAGATTTCAGTATAAAGATTTATAGGTTAACTAATAGAATACGAGATAATAAAGAAGTTCTAGCAAATCTAGAACAAAAAATTTTGAAGAATACAATGAATTCTATTTTAGTCTGTTTACTAGATGTATCACACAGTGAAACAGTATTATTTACAGGATATCGTCTCGGACAAAACTTATTGTTCATCGTCATATCAGATTATATTACTATGGACAATAAATTATATCCGAAAAGTTTGGTAAATAGTACTGTTTCACTGTAATGACACATCTAATAAACAGACTAAAATGGGATTAAAATCTATCACAGTGCCCAAGTTTAACTTCTGTATTGATAAGGTGAATTCATTGTCTTTCCTCACCTGAAAGGTAGTGATAGAATTGATACATATCAAAGAAATCCGAATAGTTAATTTGTTATTACAAAAATCAGATGATTTGACAATTAATTCCTACTTTCTTTTCACCATTTTACTGGCTGATCGAAATGACCTTAACCCACACACAAAAATGTTAACCTTATATTGACACTATAAGTAGATTTCTAGTGCCAAGTGTACACAATGATAAATTTTTATTTTAGTAATATTTCTAGCAAGATTACTTCCCTGTGATCCTACCAACGGTTGAAATATTTTAGCACAATTTATTCACACATTTACCAGTAGGCGTCATAGTCTTTAGTTGTTGTCTGCTTCTCAAATGCAATTTTCCATATGGTTGACAGTTGTGTTCCTTCACTTTTCTTGCATATGTTAAGGGTGACGTGTGTAAAACGTGAATATTAACCTGAAAATTCAATGTTAGATTCATACTCTTGAAAATGATCTTCTTAGCAAGACTTAAATTTTGAGGAATAATGGAAAATACTTTTTTTTAGTTACTTGTTCTAATGTACTACTCCGGGACTGCACAAATAAAAATACTCAAACGATGAATCAAACCAAGTCGGTGTCCTAGTTTTTCTGATCCGTCCAGTCTATTGTTAGTCGGGATACGTTCAAATATGGATTCTTTCCATCTGTTTTCGTTGTTTGCAAAAAATTTTCGAAGGGAACCAATTGCCCAGAAAAAAGTGCCTACTGACAAAAACTAATTATCACCTTATAAATTATATTCTCGACTTTGTGATTTATCAGTATTACTTCAAAATGATAGATAACGGAGCTACAAGTTGTTACCAGCTATGTTTAAACAATAGCGTATTGGTAAGAGGGGTACACTTACCACTGCAAGCAAAACTTCGGGTTCCACTCGACGGCCTGGTCTGGCCTAAAGCGAGATGACCCTGAATGGTCTTCTCAGTGTATGCCAAATCCAATCCATCTCTACTTTCTTCCGCATAATGTTGGGCTATCGGTTTTGGCTGGTTCGTTGCCAGCCAGCCAGAGTTCCTTGTTGTTTATTCTTATTCTTCTGGCCATCTGATCTTATCTTCAGTATCGAGCGAGCGTAGGCAGCAGCTCTTGATGGTGTATGTCTGTAGTTTGTTGGAAATGCTTATCGTAGCGCGCCAAGTATCTCAACCACAATATAGAAGCACTGACTTGACCCACATTAGTGTTGAAAATCCGGATCCTGTTCACGCTTCATGCTGAGTGCAGTGCAGTGCAGTAGATCTCCACACTGATTTCAGATTAATGCAGGGAGGCCTGTCTTGCAGTCCTTCCCATCCTGGCCTTGACACACTCATCTGTGGCGTCACCTGTAGTTGAAACGATGCTGACCAGGGAGGCAGGTGAAACAGACAACTTCAAGTAAGTTTCTCTTGTTGATGATAATCAGTCCCTCTTGTTGTTGATTGAATATCTTCATCACCTCTGTCTTCTCTTCGTCCACCTGATGGAAGTCCCGTCTTCCTTCGCTGCCTCGTCTCGCCTCTTCTGCCATCTTGTTAGTTTTCGCCTGTAGATCATCGAGCTTGTGCGACATTAGACTAGACATAAATCCTTATTGGCGAAACCCAAATATTCTAGGCTCTTTTCATCGGTCCAGTCAGCGTATGCCCATCTTCTCACTCCTCATAGTTGTCTGTTGCATGATCCATTCCATTCCATTCCAGCTCAGTCCAGTCTAGTCCAGTCCAGTCCAGTCCAGTCCAGTTCAGTCCAGTCCAGTCCAGTTCAGTCAAGTCAAGTGAAGTCAAGTCGAGTAGAGTCGAGTCGACCACAATGAGGAAGATCACCAGTGGTAGTAGGTGGCAATTTTGTCTTACTCCTGTCCCCTGTCTTCTTCACTTCAAATGTGTCACTGAGCTTTCATTGTGAATCACTTGGCATGTAGCCTCATCGTCACATCTTACAGTAAATAGCTGCTATTGAATGAGGTTGATGAAGTTTTGTGGCATTAAGACCGTAGTGTTGTGTCGAAGCAGGTGCCTGCCAAATTACCTCTTTGTCGACGCGGTCGAATGCCTTTTCAAAATTGATGAAGTTGAGTTGAGGTTAATATCCATTTGACTGCCATTCTATCTTCTGTTCTTTGTCCTATTTTTGTAGAAGTTAAGCCCAATTATAACGTAAAAATTACTGTGGTTGAAGACCTTTGCCTAACACGTTTTATGACATCACTGCTGAATTCTGCTAGAACAAAGGAATTACTTGCTGTTCAGTAAGGTCATATGTAGCTGGCTAGCTAGTAGTGGTAGGATACTTGAGTGACCTTGCGAGTACACCCGAATGCAGCGAAGATACGCTCACCAAAGTCAGTAGGTAGACAATTCCATTTGCATATTCTTCAACATCCGATCTCGTAAATAATGCTGTTTCCAAGTAAGAAGATAGAACAAATGAAGAGGCGTATGCCACTGAATTAAGCAATGATTAAGTATTGACATTTCCTTGAAAAGTAATCAGATATATGCTCATGTGATTTGAATTTTGATGACATTAAACAGCTGATCATGCTATAGTCTTGGTTTTATTAATTTCCGACTTTTACTGTACACTTTTCTTTCCAATCAACTTCCATTCCACTTGATTTAATTCAACTTCATTGGCTCAAATTTTCGTCGCTCGTTTGCATATTACACTCCTGTTCCCAGCTCTCATCTTGGTAAAATAATGAAGACTTCTGAGTTCCACTCATTGCGTTATGTCTGCATATTTTTGTTGAGCAAGACTGACTTACTATCTCTTATATTACACTATTCTTTCTTCCGACCCACAAATGACTAGGTTCCATTAAAAATGAAATTGGCCTTCGATCTTTGTTGGCTCTTTCTATGGTGTCTTTAAACTGCTACATTACTGTGGAGCTAACATGAAGTCTTGTACAAAGAGTCTTCTTCGCTGACTAATGTCCTTTTAATTCATATCAGAAACAAGGGTAGTTTGGTTTGAATAGAAGAATACTTTGTTCTCAAAAAAACGTAAATTTTACTGTTTAGAATTATCCATAGAGAATTTGCATTCAGTTTTCGATTTTTATATTGCTTGACAACTGTTTCTTGTATTTTAGCACATTTTCCATACTAAGAAACGATACATGAACTTCCGCCTTTAGATGACCTTGTGTAATGTTGCCTAAATAAGGCTTAAAGTAAGCTGAAAACACCTCATTTAAAAACTACTCCAGTGATAACATAAAACAATAATCAGATCATACTGAATGATACCTAAACCACATTAAAATAAATGAACTGACTAATTATTCTATAGATGAACAGTAGGTGTTTTTTCTGAAAAGTAGGTTAGTATGATTGATAATCTACGCATGTACCTCTATGAACACTCATAAACACGTGATGGTGAACTTTTTCCATTCCATTATCGGTATAATTATACTGTATAACAGTCAATTTTGGAAACTTTTGGCTCACTCAAGTCATCCGACCACCTTAATTCAATTGAGTTTGACCAAATTAGGCTGTACTGTGTACCTACCATATAAATTCTAACAGACCTGTCACAGTAATAGAAGATGAGCTTCATTTGTAGGTATAAGAGACTCATATGTTGAAATATACTTGTATCATATCCTTTATTGTGTCTAACTTAACGCATAGATGACCTCACAAGTTGTTTTGTTGCTTATCAAGTCTGGCCGCAGTTATAGCAACGAAATAAATTCTGCAGCTACATTCAAATGGTAGTCAGGATACAAGAATATTTCGTGACATGAAATTTGATTTTTGCAAAGCTGTGAATATCTGAATTTTAGTTATTTGTAGAACTATGTTTAGTAATTTTTGCTGCCGATTTTTTAACAGGCATATGACCCTGATTTTGGTGGTCAAGATCAAGTTGAATGCAGTCTGAAAGATGCAAATTTTTCGCTTATACGACTAATGACAAAAAATCAACCTGACTATGACCAAAGTAATGGGATGAATTCTGTGACGGAATATCAATTAGTTACAGCTAGAATATTAGATCGTGAGATTACTACCCATCAAATGGTTACTGTTTTGTGTTCTGATATGGTTGGACATTATACAGAAAGAAATATTACTGTTCATGTAGTGGATGAAAATGATAACCCACCAAAATTTTCACATGATGTGTTCTACTTACAAGTTGATGAAAATGCTCCTATTGGTACTCAAGTGAGACGACAACCTCAAAGGAATAACAGAGGTCATTTTAATATAATTCATCAAAGTGGATCATCACAATTGCTACCCGCAACTGATTTCGACATTGGTATTAATTCTGAAATGGTATTTTTTCTTCTTGAAGATGGAATTAATTCAACTAGATTCAAAATTGACTCACACACAGGTGCCATCACCACAATGGATATCTTTGATCGAGAAGCGAAGGATAAATACATGCTGAGTGCAATAGTGGTTGACCGTGGTACTCCTCAGCTCACTGGATCAGCTTCAGTCCAGGTATGTCTGATTGCGTTCATTATTTCATTAGTGAGATAATATCATTTAAGTCACTTAATAACCTCCATCAACCTAATTAAAAACGCCATACCCTCTTGTTTGAAACCCGAAATAACTTCCTAAACAGTATGTCATGGACACATTGCTAAGATTACCAAATTATTGTGAATCAACAATATATGTGCAGACTATGCCACTTGAGGAGCTGAGGTAGTGAATCGGAGGGGGGGACTAGAGGAATGTCAGCTGACGTCCAGAACCCTTTCAAGGCAAAAAAAATGGAAACTGATACTTTCATTATGGTGTAGATGATGTCTTATAGGTCTCGTTCACTGGACCAGTATAAGTTATGCCACTTGAACAACACTTGTGGAAGAAAATTAACTCATTTTGTATCCGGCATCCTCACCAGTCATGTACTCAGTCCTTGAAGAAAATGTACAGTTCTTCTAGGAAATAAAAATATTTCACTTGAAGAGACTTAAAATGTTCAAAGTGCTAGCATAAACAAATAGCGGAATACATTCATTCGATGATAGGAAAAGACAAAACGTCATTGCGGCGAAGAAACATTTTTCTTTCCTACGAAATCACTTGCTTAGCTATACATTCATGAATATATGTTACAGTGGGCAAAACGTTCCGAATTATTTCCGGTTAGGAGTCAAAATAAAATGAATAACTAAAGGAAGTTAACTGATATACATTTGGGTTTAGAGTAGGAAAATATACAAGGGATTATGAAAATAAAATTGTAATTACGTGATGTAGGGTAAATATATGACAGTCAAGGCATTATGATGGCCATGGAAAAGATAAAGGTTGGACGTACAACGCTGGTTTGAACTTTTGCATGGCTAGTGCTTCACGTATAGATAAAAGCCTTGGTCCTAATCCCTCCCAGTGGTTTGATAAAACCCTGTAAAGGATTTTGAATGAGCTCCCAAAAGGAGATTGTTGGCCTGCGTGCACGAACTGTTGTGCCATTGAATTGAAGATACAATTCCGTTCGCCCTATGCCAGCCAGGCTGCATAGTGGTCGTGGGCACGTTTTACAGGAGGACGCATGGTACGGCCAATGTACTCAGCTCCATAGAAGCAAACAAACTGGTATACATGCACTGATGTGGTTCAATGCATTTACTTGTCTTTCACACATCAACCAAAACGTTTCTTGCAGGAGAAAATAATTCGAAGGTTGGCGGCGAAATACGTTCCACTTAAGAAATTCGACAGTCGTTTTCTGAGGATGTCTGCAGCAACATCAATTTTGAATTCACGATTCAACAAAAGAATCTTTTTCGGCGCCAGATTTGTTCGTTCAGTCGGGTTCTTCGAGTTCATGTTCTTATCTATGAATCTGAGAGGGAAATCGTTTTCCGCTAGAGTTCGCCAAAGATTCGGAAGTTTTCCGCTGACAGTGTTCTCAGTACATTTTTCCCTGATCCTTGAGGAAAGTAAATGGACAAGATTTCTCTTTCTACATAGATGGACTGAGCTTTGAAAACTAATAAACTGTCCGCTCCACTTGGGCTTTCTGTAGATCGATCTACGAAGTGAATTATCGCCTTTTCTTTGAACTTGGACATCAAGAAAATAGAACGTTGAGTTTGATTTGGATTCCAGAGCGAATCTGATTGAAAAGTTGGCACTGTTGAAAGTATGAAGCAGGTCTGTAAGATTCATATTTGCATCACAAACTATAAAGGTATCAATAATGTATCTCTTTTAGACATAAAGTTTATTGATTACTGATGATAAGTTGGTGTTTTCCAGGCTTGCCATGAAGCAGTCAGGAAGGAGAGATCCTAATGGAAAACCTACTGCCATACCGTCTATCTGCCTGCAGATCTCTTCATTAAATCCGAAGAGTACATTGAAGGTATACAGAATGTGAAGCTCTACTAGGTAGTTGATTGGAATACTAACATCTATATAAGGACATTGAATGAATTCATATAGTAAGCAGATGGTTTCTGTCAGTGAAACATTTGTAAATAGGGACATGACTTCAAGTGAAATCGTTCTTTCATCCGTCACACTGACATTCTTTATTGAATCAGCGAAATCAAACTTGTCTATCAGTGTCTGTCAGTGCACTGAAAAGTTGTATACCGTCATTACCAACCGTAATTTAATTTTCAAACCTGTATATACTGAGAAAAATACATTGATACGCAACAAACCATGCGATGGAATGTTTATTAAGTGCTTTCCACACCTTGGAAACCAACAATCGGTTTAGACAAACTGGTCCGGAAATTTTGTCATTCGGAATATACTGAACTAAAACCCTATAACTATTTCTGATGCTCCGAAGAAAAGTGTTCGGAGAAATTTAGGCTCAAAACAGTGGAATTTTGATGCAATTCAAAGTCAATCAGCAAGCAAAAGCATTTCTCAAACAATTAGCCAATCACTGAAAGTTGGACGCGAAAATCAGTGAATTATCACTTATCCTACAGGTAAGTGTCGTTCTATTCTCAATACTTATGTCTTCAACTTATTAGACGTAGACGTAGACGGACATCAGTCGGAGGAACGAAAGAAACCTGGGAGCACTGCACAGCTGGTTCGCCCTAGTATGGGACTCTCCGGAAGTGCGCACCCACGACCCCGCACCATCAGGGATCGAACCCGCGACCTTCAGGTCCCGTGGCCAGCATGCTACCATTGAGCCACTGGGTCAGAATCCATTGGTCCATATTTCCAACTTCTGTTAGCTTACGATATAGCGCAATCGCCACCCAATGTCATCGTTGAGTAACTGTTCTCACGACCATCAGGTTTCATCAATATGAAGAATATAGGCAATGAATTTTATTTATTATTAGTCCCTTGGGTTCCTAATGGAACATAGGGATTCAGTAGCACGTCTCCATTCCACTCTCTTCTCTGAAATCTTTTCAACCTGACTCCACGACAGCCCACAACCTCCCATTTCCTCCTCACACGATCTCCTCCATGTCACCCTCACCTCGGACGCTCGAGTCGTCGCTCTCATATGACTTCCACTCGAGCAACTGGCCTGACGCGTGATGTCCCCAGTCAGACTTCTCAGTGTATACCCTATCCATCTTCACTCTCTTCCACTGCATATTTGTTGGGTGATAGGTTCTTGCTCTGTTGGTTCGTCGCCAGGCCAGAGTTCCTTGTTGCTTATTCTTATTATTCTGGCCATCTGGTCTTCAGTAGCGAGCCAGCGTAAGGAGTTGTTGATGAATGTCTGTAGTTTATTGAAAATCTTTTTCGTAACGCGCCAAGTCTCTGAACCATCACATAGAAGCACTGACTTGACTGAATTAGTATTGAAAATCCGGATAGTGATTGGAGATTGTTGTTGTTGTTGGAGTTGTTGGTGCGGTATCTTCATCACTTCTGTCTTTTCTATATTCACCTGAAGTCCCGTAATCGCTGCCCCGACTCTTCTGTCAACTTGTTAGTTTTCGCCTGTAGATCTTCAAGTTTGTGTGACATCAGACACAAGTCATATTAGGCGAAATCCAAATCTTCTAGGTTCTTTTCCCCGGTCGAGCGTATCCTCCTGTCCTCGCTCCTCACTGTTTGCTGCATGATCCAGTCCAGTCGACCACAATCAGGAAGATGATGGGGGATAGTAGGCAGCAAGCTTGTCTTACTCCACCCTGTCTTCACTTCAAAGGCGTCACTGAGCTGAGCTTCCCATTGTGAATTACTTGGCCGGCATATGGCGTCTTCATATAGTTGTTGAATGAGGTTGATAAAGGTTTGTGGTATTCCGTAGTATTGAAGCAGTTTCCAAATTACTTGTTGATCGACGCTGTGGAAGGCGTTCTCAGAGTCGATGAAGTTGAGGTAATGTGAGGAGTTGACTGCCATTCTATACTCTGTTCTATGATTATGCGTAGCGTAGCGTTGCAATTTGGTTGGCACATGATTTGTACTTCCTGATGCCAGCCAGCCAGCCAGTCAGCCTGTTCCGGTCGTAATTTTGAATCTAGAACATCCTTTAGTCTCTCCAGGATGATGCGGCTTGATATTTCGCTTGCTTGTGGTGGACAGGAGCATGGTTCCACTCCAGTTCTTGCAAAGACTTAGATCGCCCACCCTTCTTCGCGAATTTGACAATGTGGCCCTTCTTCACTCAATCGGCGGATACCTTCCCTTCCTTCCACACCTTCTGCAATAGTGGTGTGGTGTCAGCATATCCGCTGTTGTCTCTGCATCTGTTCTCAGTGCTTCTGGTGGAATCTCGTCTGGTCCTGCTGCTTTTACACATTTCAGTAGCTTTATGGCTTTCAGGACATCCATTTTTGTTAGAGGATTTATGTTCACTTGTAGTTCAGCGGTTGTAGGTGGTATTTCTGAACGAAGTGCAGGTGGTGGTGGTGGTCGATTCAAGAGCTTTTTGAAGTGGTCGGCCCATCATTTCCTTTGTTTCTCTTCTTTCGTAATTAAACTTCCTTATTCATCTTTTATTGCTTTCATCTGCACTGTGTTGATCTCTTCCCTCTCAGATAGTAACCTGGTTATTTGATACAATGTGGTCAGGTCTCTGTCTCTCCTATCTGCAGCCTGTTCTGCTTCACTTGCCAGTGTTTCGTGGAAGCGTCTATTGTCTTTGCGTGCATTCTTCTTCACTTCTTTGTCCAGTGTAGTGTTTTATACATTGTACTCATTTCCTCTTCCCGTTGAGCATCCATGCACTGGTTTATCTTCTGCTTCACCATCCTCCTCTCCTCTATCAGCTTCCATGTGTCCGTCGAGATCCATTCCTCATCTTCTTTCTTCTTCCTTCCTAATTCGACTGTGCAGGTTTCTTTCCACATCTCTTTCAAAGACTTCCGGTGTTCTTCCACACAGGTTTCTTCAGGGATTTTCTCAATATCTCCTATTTTGTCTTGATGGCTGACTGATGTGAAGATTTCCTTTGTTGTTTCGTTCTTCAGTTTGTGTTCCGAGTGTTGTACTTGAACTGTGGTCTATCACCAGCTTCCTTGAAGGCTGTTAACTTGATTTGGAAGTCAAGTTTCTTGCACTAGATAGTGAGTGGTGTGAACCTACATCTGCTCCTCTTCTTGACATTGTGCCAAGTAGGTTGGCTGCGTCTCCATTTTCTTGAGATTGAGGTAAGGTCGATTTGATTTTTAGTGTGTCCATCTGGTGAATGGTGAAATCCATGTCGCTCGCTTTGTGGATATCCTTGTACCTGAACACACTGCCTCACCTCCAATCACCAAATCGTTGAATGCACAGAATTCTGCAAACAGTTGTCCATTCCCGTTCATTTTACCTTGCGCTTCTCGACCCATGGTTAGTTCTCTTCCTGTGTTGTCTCCTCCCAATTTTGCATTCATGTCACCCCACCCATTAGAATTTTGATGTCGCCAACTGAGGTCTTTTCGAGTGTTGATTGCAATTGTCTGTAGAATTCCTCCTTCTTCTCTTGATCTGCATTATTTGTAGGTGCATAGTGTAGCATTGTATGGTTGTGACCTTCCTTCCTTCCTTTTGAGTTGAACCTTGCTGTCATGATCCTGCAGGAGGAGATTGGTACCCACTGCATGAGAGCCTTCGATGCTCTTGGGGACATCATGATAGCCACTCCACATTTCACTGTGCTCGTGGTTGTCGTGTCGTCTGGGTGACAATATCACAGTAGATTATTGATTCTCCAGTTGACAGTTTGAAGAGTTGAATCCCATTCCATCTGCTTTCGCAAATTCCAAGCACTTCAATGTGATACCTCTTCATCTCGTTTGCAATCTGGGCTGCCTTGCTGGGTTCAAACATGGTGCGGACACTCCATGTCCCCACGTTTACTTTCGCTTTCATCGAGAGAAGACACCTTGGCCTGGCCAATTGGCTTCCCGAAGGCAGGCTTTCACCAACTGGCGTCATTTCCCCTCTCCGATTCCAGCGAGGAATAATTTTGTTATAATTTTTATATTTTGTTTATGCTTTGAAGTTTTTTTTAGCGGTTATATTTGTTTTCCGGTGTAGGGTTGGTAGCCCTGTGCCCAACCTTCTCTGTTTACCCGGGCTTAGGACGGGCTGGTAACTAGTGAACTAGTTAACCAGGCAAGGTTATAGGCAATGAATATGAACAATAAATTCTTTTCGAAACGTCATCCAGTATATAATAATGTTTCACTGTGTAAAATATCAAACGAACAACCTAATATACAAAAACCAGTTAGTTGATGATACTTTTAGGTCATGTCTGACTGTGTGATTTTGAGTGAAAACATTTTTGTCACCAAATTTAATTAGTTAGTGATCTGCTCACCTTTAAGGAGAGACAAACATTGACCATAGATTCTGAAGTTTTCGACCAATGAAAGTGCCTAAATAAGTGAAATAAAATGAGGCTTGTGAACTAACAGCTATAAGATTTCGATTCCTCCTATTACAAACCTAACAGTTTTGATAAAAATTGAGCAAAACAAACTTCATTCAAAGTGTAATGTAGCCACAGTCATCAAACTGCTTATTTATACAAAACGTATCGATCATGTGAGCAAGTTCAGTTATATCAGGTTGTTATACTGACGATACTTTTTTTAAACGTTTACATGGAAAATGCATTTTACAGTCCTGACTGCAATGGATCTATAACTTTATCACCGTTCAATTTTAAGCAACAAGCTTAAAATGCACTTAATTCCTTCGAGGTTTACTGGAAAACAAAGTAACTAAATTACATATATTTGTACAGCCTATTAGATAATAAGGTTGTTTTTTCAAATGGTTCTGTTAATGAATAGTATTGCTGCGTGTTTAGTCATCTGCATAAAATCATATCTAAATTATTGACCTGTTTAGTAATCAGTAAAGAAAATATCTGTAAATTGCAACACGAACATAACCCTATTATTTTATGTCAATTTAGATAATCGTCAATGACCTCAATGACAATGGACCAGTTTTCTCACAGAATGATTATACTTTTCATATTCAAGAGAATCAGCCACGTAGTTCAACTGTTGGACATGTTTCTGCAACAGATTTAGATTCATCCGTGTACGGTCCATTGGAATATAGTTTTACTGATGATCAAGAATCAGACAACTTTACAATTGATAAAATTACCGGTATCATTAGAATTCGTCAGTCATTAGATCGTGAAGAAAAATCTCAATATGTATTTCGTGTGTTAGTTAAAGATACAAGCACAAGATCGACGGAAAAAGGTAACGGTATCGGTATTGGTAGTAATAATGGTATCAATTCAACTCTGTCGTCAATAAATACCCAGTATACTGGTACATCGACAATTACAGTGATTGTAGATGATGTCAATGATAACTGGCCAGTGTTTATTAGTCCAAATTCAACAGCTAGCACCCTAGCTATTGCTATCGATCAAACAATTACGGGTTATAAACTGGCCTATATACAAGCCTATGATAAAGATGATGGCGATAATGGTTTAATTAGTTATAATATTTTGGCTGGAAATAATTATGGTTTATTTGGCCTTGATTCAACCAGTGGATTGTTGTATCTTTCAAATCCTGTTACTCAAAAGAATAGCAACAATGCCAATGAATCATATAATTCACTATCAGACTCATCATTAGATGAAAGATTGGACGTTTTAAATCTCCTGCAGAAATCTAGTATGCATATACTAACCTTAGAAGCATGTGATCATGGGAAAGATCCGAAACCAAGATGCACATTATATAACAATCTGAAAATTATTATACAGAATAACAAAGGAAATGATATACACAGTCTAGAAAATAAACAATCACAGTCTAGCTTACTTAATCATATCATAAGTTTTCCAAACATTTTGGCGGCATCATCGTCGATGGCATCACCAACATCTGCAGCACAAACTCATCATGACAAAATTCAAAGTGATTTAACTTCTTTACAAGGAATTAAAGATAACAGTTTTTATCGCAAACCAACAGCTTTGCCCTATGGAAATTTGCTAAGTAATACACAAAACTATAAGGTCCTTAACTATTCAACCAATGATATCATGATCATTAGTCTTTCGCTTATATTTGCATTGGTTCTTGTAGCAACGTTAGTGCTTGTCTGCCTGGTACGTCGAAGAGTGACATGGTTTAAAAATCAAGATAAAAAAGCAGGTAGGTAGTAAATCTTCATAGATTTCACTATTTAACTCTAGAATTTGGTTGATAAGTTACTTTAGCTTACGTTGATCACCTTTTCGATAACTGACCTCAGACCAAGGGGATTTTTCGGGGTTTACTTCAGTAAGTAAATAAAGCAAGGAGAATAACAGCAGCAAAATTAGCGTGCATATCTTTCGTGGATCCTCCCCAGCTGCTTGGCAACCTATAAATGAATAACATGTTATACAACGTACTTTATATAATCGACAAATTTTTTACTAATTGAGATGGAAGGTAATAACACCCTTCACCGTCAAATCGATGGAGTCACTATGAGCAGCCAACTGGGTCCGATCTTCACTGATATCTTCATGGGGAGTCTAGAACAGACAAAACTAAAATGTCCAGTAGATCAAACAGCATTCTACCTGAGGTATATTGACGACCCATTCATTGTATGTGATAATGGTGAACATGTCTCTCATTTATTGAACACTTCTATTGAAGCGCACCGTAATATAACATTCACAATAGAAACTGGACAAGACAATAAGTTTCACTTCCTAAACCTCGGCCCACAGCGTCATACAGACGGATGGATTTATATATACATTCGTCAGAAAGACACAGAGAGTGGACTTTATTTAAAATGCAATAGCTTCTACCCAATAACTTGCGAAAAACGTCTCGTAAGAACACTTTTCAACCATACGCAAAAACTATACTCTACGGTAACAAAAGGCGCTTAGGCCCACAGTTGACTTTCATTTCTGTGAACCGCTAGATATTCTGTTGTACGAAGTCCCTTTCAAACTGAGTGAGACCAAACAGCTTGAAAAGGACTTCGATTATGTTTTCGTACAGCAGAATATCTTGCAGTTCACAGAAAGTAAAGCCAACTGTGTGTAAGCCCCTTTTTTTTACTATAGGCTTACTTTTACACCTTTCTGACTTGTGCTGTATGGTTTTCTTTCCAGTCAACTTCCATTACACTTGCCACAGTTCAACTTCATCTTAGTGAAATAATGAACACATATGAGCTCCACGCACTATGTTATGTCTGGATATTTTAGTTACGCAAGATTGACCTTCTGTCTCCTGTATCACGCTTTCCATCGTCCCATGCGCAGTCCAGTATGTTTTATTAAAAAGTGGAATTAATACTTGCCTCATGCTGGCCTTTTATATGATGCCTTCAAAGGACTACATAACTGTACACCTAAGAAGGGGAGTTATGAAAAGATTCCTGTTTGCTGATCACTGTTGTTTGGTAATTGATAATGTGAAAAAAAAGTTGTGTTTTGCAGGAGGTTCATCCCATTTTATTCCATATAACTTTCTGACAATTTGCTAGTAGACACCATGCATTGAGTTCCTTAGTTCTATGAGACTACTTGTGGTAATTATTCCAAGCTGTTTCACATGAATTACACTAGACGTAAGACAATTTTAGATTTCTAGCTGTGTACTTTTTAACCTAAGATCCCACTTATTTAATCCCCATCTTATTCAAAAAGTGTTAGAAATCTCATATAGAGCATTCTTATCGTCAGCAAATAAATCGTTGAAGCATTTTATAATTGGACAAGTCAGATTTAAGTGTACAAATTTTATTTATTTGATTATTGAGAAAATGCATTATAGTAGACATTTTGGTGACCTCAATGGAGTAAGAATTTTAATTCCTTATGTTTTCTGAGTTTACTCTAGATACTTGTTCATAGAACCAAATAGTGCATGAGTTTGATGACAAGGTATACAGAAAATATTTTGAAAGTAAAAACTTTCCAATAACTTATAAAACTTTAGGCATTCCAATTTCAACTGGATGCATTTTAAAAGTTGTTATATTGGAATGACAAACCGATACACAACGATGTCATAAATTTCTTTTATCATTAGAATATGAAACTTTAATTTGATTCCGGAAATACTGATGTTTAGGAATCACAACAGCTAAATGCACGTTGTTCACTTTCCAGGGAGTGACTATGGTGACTTGATTGCTTAGCAGATAACATCCTAGTATCTAAACGATGGGTTATGGATTTGAATTTTAGTGAGAAAAATATTACTTACCGGGGAAACTCGCTTTCTAAACTTCACTGCTAGCCACCATTCATCATATGTTATCTAAGTTGTTGACAAATTCTGATGAGAATGAATCTCAAAGCATACGTTCTATTTGCTAAAGCTATTCGCAATGAAAGCTCATAATAGGTGGTTAAGTTTTAAACTAAGAAATAAGTGAAAAACGTTCAATCAAACATATTGTGTGGCAGGTGAATGGGACAACATGTACCTTGAACTTAAATGAAGTGTAATACCTAACAGGTGGAAGACCTATAAATGTTGACAGAAGTATGTCAGGATCTACTACAGATACAGATAATATATTGAAACTTAGTTATTAAGGTTTTAGTTTGTTTCGAAAATACAATGATGGACTCAACAGTGTTAAGTGCTGGTTATAAGTGAGGAATGTATTGTCGATTGAAGTGTAAAGGAAAAAGTGAGTTACAGTAAAGAAAATGTTCTCTTTGCTTAAATTTTACCTTCACTTAGGCTTCTGTCTAAACCATGATAGTATTTCAGACTAGTGTATCAAAATAAAGACGTCTGATTTTCTAATCGGTGACTCTTTTCTTTTCTAAAGAACAAAGAACAACTCTTAGGTCTAGTCACCGACATTACTTAAAAGTATTTTTCACTTGTAATAAGTGATTAGGGTGATGCTTGTTTCATTTTTTTCATTGCATAGTTTCTTTTATGCGGATGATGTGTACTCCAATCTGTAGAAAATATGACGTAGTGTTAACAGTATTTCAATCTCAATTACAAACTGGAAAAAACAATTTTTGGTTAATATTTGTAAAAATCGATCTTTCATGGAATATACTGAAATTGTCAATGTAAATACTAGAAATATAAGAAAAAAAATACTCAATGTTTCAGTGGTAACAATAATTCTCAGCTTAGAACGGATAATTTATCCAAACATGAACATAATTTGCTTTCATTCAATTAAGGATATGCATTAAATATATTTAAAGGTGATATAATCATGTAAGACGTTTGTCCGAGAACAAATTCCATACTTTCAAAACACTGAACTTGATTAATTTTCATTTATGAACAAATTATACATCTACAAAAAATAATTCATTTATTCTTCCAGAAAAATAAAATGATTTTCAGGCAGTAGAAAACGTTGACAATATTCGAACATACTGGTTATTTGAAATGCTATACTAAATAAACTTAGACTTCAGAAGGAAAAACGCTAAGAACTACAACAATTTTCTAAAACATTGAAGAAAATAACTTTAAATAATTATGAAAAACTGTGAAGTTGTACCTGAGGGAACGTACATTGTCTGTACCTGAAAGGTTTGACACAATTTGATCAGTTTCTTTTGGATAATGAATACCAAAAAGTCAAACAATATGTTTAAAACATTTTATCTCATATTACTGATTATTGTTAATTTGTTTCACTTTAATCTTTTCATTTTAACTAAATGCCCTATTTCAATACTGACTGACCAATGATATGCCTATAGATTGTGAAGATTCCCCACCAACTGAAGACAATACGTAAACACTCAGTAGTTGAAAACTAGTCATATAATTTACGGTTTAGATGTATGATTTTACATATAAAAAGTAAATATCTTTTAGAGGCAACCGAAATTGCTTATTCTTTTTACAGACTACTATAATAATTAATATTATTGTCGTTATTCTACAATTTTTCATCCTTTCTGAACTTTATATGATAGGTTATTACCATTCAAGTAAATGATATTTTATTTCTCTGAATTTGATAATTATAGCCACCAAGTATACATGTTATATTCTTTTAAACGATATACATACCTTGATACGGAAAACTTGATTCTGTAAATAGCCAATCTAAGCAATCACAAGTAAATGTGTGATCATCTTGTTCAAAATGTATAGCGCTAATACGTCACATTTTTCTGATAATCTACATCTAATTATATTATCTAAGTAATGTCAGTCAATTGGCCAACCCTATTCTATAAAAGTATGAAGACTAATCTGAAAATAATTTAGTTTAAGGTTTCTATGATCTATAGTTATACAGATGAGTTTATGGAATAGACTAGGAAAAACTGTTACTTTTTAATTTCTGTCATATTTCATTTTTATGATTCACTAGAACAACTACTCTAGTTTATCGTTTTGATTCAGTATTGTTTAAATTCTTATGTACAATTTTTGAAAGCCATTTAACGTGAACATTTCAGTCTAGCAGTCAACGACAATTTGTGTCATTGAAATAAGATAGAAAGTCAGTGATAAATGAAATAAACATCTTAACAATAGTGTTGAAAACTCTACTTATAGAATCTTCACATAAAGTATGCCAATAAAATTATGTATGTCTTATTCTACCTTAGATCTAACTGTCATAATTTCATACGAATACATTTTAGACACTAGAAAAAATGTAAAACGGAGTGAGTTTCAGATGCATGAACAGCCTATAAATAAAAGTCAGGATGCAGAATCAAAACGTCAGTAGTAAAAAACGCCAGTTACTAAGATGATTGCATAGAAACTAACAAAGCCTACTTTAAAGTCTTTTTCTGCATACTGTGTTGACAAGTATGGTAGAAAAATCTTAAACTTTGTAACATGATATTAAACTCAACATATTTGTAATAAGTCTTTCTCTTACGCTAAAAATAACTTACTCCAAAATATCAGTAAAGTTAGATGAATAGCGTTCAGAAGCGTAGAGAAATTTTATGATATACCAACTCAACCATTATGTTGTTACTATGGCTAGAAATATTGTGTATCGAATTATGAAATTGAAAGTGATTATTAAGTGAACTGGTCATGAAAACCTTATAAATTCCTCTTACTGTTTGCCTATTCTGCATCTTTAAGCTTTATTCTTTGAAAAATAACTATACAGTGACTGATTGTTATATTTGTAATTTTCCGTTTCAATACTAGGCCAAGTTGCTCAGCGTGTA